CTATTGGTACTGCCAGCAAGTGTTTGGGAGTGTCAACAAGGAGCTATTGGTACTCCCAGCAAGTGTTTGGGAGTGTCAACAAGGAGCTATTGGCACTCCCGGGAGTGGCAACAAGGAGCTATTGGTACTGCCAGCAAGTGTTTGGGAGTGTCAACAAGGAGCTATTGGCACTCCCGGGAGTGGCAACTAGGAGCTATTTCCGTCGCCAAGCAAACTTAGTGTAAAAGCTATGTCGGAAAAGTGGCTTATTCTCCGGAGCCGAGCATTTTAAATTAAAAGTTGTTCTTTTAAAGCTTTTTTAATTTTTGAGTTGTTTGTAAATGAGTTCTAATTCGCGAGAAGTATAAGTTATTTCAAGTTTCTCTCCAGTGCGATATGGTTAAATGAAAAAACAGTGTCACCGGCGTAAGTTCAAATAGTGCACGTATATTCTGTTTTCCGAAAAATGATACCTGTTTTTTTTTCAAAGAAAACACTGTGTGTTAGGAATTATACGGTTGCAAAGTTTACAAATCAGCGTTGACCTTGTTGACACTCCCTGAGAGTGCCAATAGCTTCTAGTTGACACTCCCGGGAGTGCCAATAGACTCACCCAAATAATATATGTAATAAATCTGCTCGGTTTGTTCAGCAAACCGCCTTCAATTTTTGCTCTTTTCCAAAAAGTTATTCCAATAAAGCTGAAGACTAATCTCAAATGGTAATGAGCTAGCTAATTAAGTAGATTAAACATTTCTCTACAAAAAAATAAGTGTCTCGGCTGTGAACACTGATTCGTTATGATATACAACGCTTGTACAAACAGTCCAAAACATGGATTTTATTTAAAAACAATGTCTAAAAGAGTGAAGACGAGCTAGTAAAAATTGAACGAATATATTACATTGTGAAAAATTGTTTCCTCTACAAGATGTGGTAGCTTTTCAAGTTCGAAACTATTTGAATTAATCTAATTAAAGAAAAACCCTGTCGCTCTAACAAAAAATGGTCAAAAGTGGCACAGTGTTACGGTTTTCTGATTTTTCGTTGATTAATACAGAATAAGCAGAATAGACTTCGTTCTTAAATAGCCCTAAAATTGATGTTTTGGACCGTTTGTACAACAGCAGTATTTTCATAACGAATCAACCTTCAGAGCCGAGACACTTATCACTTTGTAGAGAAATGTTTAATCTACTTAATTATCTAGTTGCCATTTTGGATTAGTTTGTGGCTTTATTGGAATAACTATTTGAAAAAGAGGAAACTAGCCGTCGTGCAGAATTCCTACACATACTGGATAAAATAATTGTATCCTCAAAATATTTAACCTATAGTCATTAGATATATCAGAGTAAGAGTTAATGTATTATACTTACTTGGCTTCTGTCAGATGAAATAAAACTCTTACTTTTAAAGTCATACGTAATATCATCAGCAGCAGATCGGTTCCGCGGGACAACAAAACTACATAATCTAGCCAGTTCTACACTTAAATAATTTAGTAATGGAAAATTGTCAAATATAACTAGAATATTCTAGAAAAAAAAAATTAACTTCAGCATCATTGACTATGTATAGAAATTTTACTACATAATTAAAAACATCAATTGATAAATGTTGAATATAATAATTTTTTGATATAAAAGCATATGAATCGAGAGAAAGGCCAGCGTATTTGTTTGTAGAAACAATCAGTCTCCTGAATGATTTCTTTTTTGATTTGAATAGTACATGTTCACACAGAAGAGATGAAAGTTGTTTAAGAGAATGATCATCATTTTCGATAAATAATGAATATAAAAAATATCTAAATAAACTTATTGTTAAGTTTTCGAGATTTGGAAGACAATTCGAGTAGAACTGATTGAAAAATGAGCATAAATCAGACATATGATTAATTCCTGATAATTCTAAATATGTGACATTGTCAAGGTACGAAAATATTCAAAGTGAATTGAGTTGTTTCAGTTGTATGTATTCAAGAGATTCGTTGACTCTTAAAACATGGACATATTCACTAATTTCTTTCTTCAACTAATTTATCTATTTAACTGCGTTATAAGACGTTAGTTCATTTATTCAGAAGTTTTAGTGATTCATAATACAAGTGATATGCGATAGAAGACATTTAACTCTTCGGCGAAAAAGAACGATCACTCGACAGTCACTCAACGAACGCTTTCGACCAAGCGAACACGTTCGGTAGCGACTTTTCAATTTCGATCATCAGAGATTGTGGCCTACCTATGGTCGAAATCGAAAAGTTCTCGTTCCAAAACCCTGAGATTTTTTAAATGTTTTCTAGAACGCCTCGCACACCTAACCATAATGTTTTCGAGTTATGAGGCTGGCAATAGGAAGAGCAGCCAAAATTGTCTCTGTAATAAAAATCTGAGAGTTATGGGGTAAGATTTTGAAGAGATATTTATATTGGACTTTTGAGACATTCGTGGGCTCATGGTACTTCCTAACCAAGGGCCACTCTTGGTACTTTAACTCTCTCAGACTAAAAGGTCAAATAATGCATCTTGTAGCTCTTGATGCACTCTACAAAACTGTTTATTTATGTTGGTAAAACAAGCATCGTGTTGAAACTAGAGGATCGAAGTACAGGACCAACTGTATGATACGGCTTCGCAATCAGGAACATGCCCAGTAAAGCACCTAAAAGGTCCTCTGAAAAGTTCTGATATAGCCTATTCCACTCAACTATACGCCTGTTAAGTAATTGCACAATCTCAATAAAGTGTGCATCATATATGACGCACCGCCAAAAGTTTACTTTTTAAGTTTTTTGCCAAGTGAAATTTGTTAAGTTCTGTTCATCATATATAACAGAAATAAGAAGAAAAATTCATCATATTTAATTTAATCTTGACTTTTCAATCTAAAAGGTCATTCAGTACATCTCGACTAGAATATAGAAAGAAAAATCCCACTAGAAAACAAGAATTTTGAAAAATATATTGTAGTCGTTCAATGTATGATTATGATATAGCATATTGTGAGATAGCGTCATTACAGTAAAACGGGAGGATGTATGTGATGATGATCATGAATAATAGTAAGGACATTTTCTTTGAATATTTAATTTAATTCATAAAACTATATACAGGACTTTTTCACTAAAAGAGAAAAACATAATTTTCATAACCGAAAACCCTTTTTTCTTCTTTGAAGGTTTCTGCCTAGTATTACTGCTTCAAAACGACACAACCGAATGAAAAAATTACTTTATTTTCTTTTTATTAAAGAAACGAATAGATTACTATGGTAACATTTCATCATTGCTCGCGTCATATTTCTTATATTTAGTTTTTTCTTGAAAAAACTAAATATGAGAAACTGATGGGCAAAAAAACGATCTTAACGCGGTATGTATTATTATGAGTCATGAATGACAATTTCGTATTATTTCACAAGAGTGTAAACAAACTTCTCAATCCTATATATAAAACGGAAAAAGTGTCACATCTCCCACACGAATTGCGTAAAGCGCCCGTTCCGCGTCATTTAGATAATTTAAAACTATATGTCACGTTTTCTATTACAAACTAATATTCAATCTTTGGACGTCGTTAATCCTAATGCCGATATTTTGACACCAAAGCAAGAGAATACAACATTGATTTGGCTTGATTCAAATATTGATTTGAATAATGCTGATATTAAAAAAACCAAACAGATGCTTCGAGGTATAAATGATTTCGTATTATTTTATACCGACTATAAACAGTGTAGTGCATATATCGAATCAGCAAGAAATGAAAGTGTTTTTATAATTGTTTCTGGTTTTAATGCAAAAGATTTTTTTCGGTATGTACCTGGTTCAAGCAATGTAGAGTCGATATTTATATTCTGTGGTAATGATAAAAGTTATTCTTATTTGAAGGAGCAGCATACCAAAATAGTCGGTATATATACTGATCAAAAACCACTTATTGCTGAATTAAAAAATAAACTTTCAGCTCATAATAAAAAACAATCGAAATTATCTCTAGTTCAATTAATAGACAAGAACAAGCCAAAAACAACATGTGGAGTTGCCACTAATACATCAAACTTTATAAAATCATATTTAGCTGAAAGTATATTGTCGAAAATGATTTCAACACCGGAATCTAAAAAAGATTTAATTGATTATTGTACAGAATATTATCAAGGAAATCCTAGTGGACTGAGCAAAATTACAGACTTTGATGAAAACTATCGATCATCCGATGCTATCAAATGGTATACGAAAAATACATTTCTATATAGACTAATTAATAAAGCATTTCGTTCACAGAATTATCAACTATTATACATATTTCGTTATTTTATTATTGATTTGTCACATGCACTCCGATTAGAATGGGAAAGATCAAAAAATGTTCGATCACTGTATCGTGGCCAAATTATGTCAAAAGATGAATATTTGACTCTATTAGATAGACAGATAATAAAGATGAATGGATATGTTTCGACAACACGTAATCAGAATGTAGCAAAGATGTTCGCTGGTGTATATCATGCTCAAGATGATAGTTGCCAATCAGTTTTATTTGAATATGAAGTCGATAATAATAGTGGTATTACTGTAGCTGATATATCAGACCTCAGCGAGCTTACGGATGAAGATGAATGTTTGTTTGATGTCAATGCAACATTTGAAATTACTGATCATCATGAAATTACTGAATATAATGAAGAATATGCTATAATTAGATTGAAAACAAAAAGTTATGCTGTGAATGATGCAAATATTCATCTTGAATTCTTTTATAGCGAATCTTATGACCTATCGGCTGCTTTCTCCTTTGATCCTTTTGATCGTGGAGACTTAAACTTAGGGGATGAAATAATTAAAATGGATAAACTGTCTAAGCGATTGAATTATTATGAATATTACATATTAAATAATTATCCTGTTGATTTTCCAGATCATTACAAATTAGGATGTGGATATTGTTTGAAAGAAGAAGCATTTCAGAATGGTCCATTGGATGTGAACGATCGAACACGTGATGGATTATGGGAAAACATGTATGACCATGCCTTGTATCACTTTCAATCATGCAGACAACAGGTAATGTTTCGATTTAAATAGCTTTTATTAGTATGAGCAATTGTTATGTACCAAGAATTTCATTAGACTTTTCAAAAATCAAAAAATGCCTAAAAGCGAAGATTTCACTTCAGTTGCAAACACAATATTCAACTTTTACATTGGTTGTGTGAATCTAATTAAGTAATAGAAGATTTTTTCGATCGTTATGATGTTGAAGTATGAATACTTGAAGTGCTGTTTTTGTATTCATTCTCATTACGACGTTTTTTCCCACTGTGTTATGTTACATACTTACAAAAGTTCTCTATTTAATCCAGCTTATAATTGGTGTTATCTCATGCATCGCGCTCTATGAACAGAATGGAGGTGGATAGCGGATGAGTGGAGTAAGCGTGTCTCACAGGAATAATTCTGATCAACGCTAACAAAGCGGCAGACACAAAGTAAAACAACTTTTTTTCGACAGTGAATATTTACTGTTCTAATTAAATATTAGCTCATCTTGTAGAGAATTCTGAATACTTTCCAACCATATGTTTGACAAGTTGATATCATCTTTCCTTAATTAATTGCTAAGAAACTACGTGTTAGAAAGACAGCCATTTTTTTGAAAAAATTTCATTTGAGGTGATCACTACATGTAAGATACATGGTAAATACAAAAAATAATCTTCATAAACTTACAGAAGCTGTTTTTTGTCCTCCTTTAAGGCCTCTCCCCCCCTCAAAAATCGATCTCAGTCACGGTATATTTGTCCTTTTTTGTACTAAAATTGAAGGTATACTTAAAAAAAGGAGCCTTACAGTGTCTGCAGCTTTCGACGCTCTTTCAAACAAAAAAAAATATTAGGCTTTCTGTTGTACCTTGGTTGAGCAATCTTGAAAATACATCGTCTGCAGAAAATCTATCTTTTGCAGAAAATCATTTTTTTTCAAAAAAAAATTTTTCATCATGGATAGTAGCAGTTAATGGAAATCATCAAAAATTTCCATCAAAATAGGGTGCTGAAGAAGAAACCAATAGTGTTTCTGAGAGAGCTGATGACGGGCTATCTCCTCATGCATTCATCTCCGTTTCAAAATTTCTGACAAAAATCGACTTTTTTGAGGGGGGGGGAGGCCTTAATAATTTTCAGATACTGGACGAATTTTGCTCCTCAGTATGCAATTCTCTACAAATTCACATTAGTTTTAACCTTTACTAACATGTTCAGAGCCCGAATAACGAATTTTCCTCCATGTTCCATCTTTCCCATGCAAAGTAGTGCTTTCTATCAAAACTAAGACTTATAATGCCCTTTATTTACCATTAAAGAATTAGTGAGAAACTTCTTAAAGTAGGGAAAGTGATAGAGTTTTGCATGGGCTACTTTTTCATCTATCTGGTTTTCAAGAAAACATTTGTCTTCACACTCTAGTAAAAAATAAAGAAAACAAGTACCTTGCACGAGCTTTTTCAGCGGCATTTGATATCATACTTTTTACTTCCTCAAAACCAATTCCAAAAATTCTGTTTTCTATGCTTTTTGAAGTTTAGGCGTTACTCTTTCAACTAGTAAAAGAATGAACTTTTACGATGTTTCTGAGTGGAGAACTATGGGTGAAGATTTCGGCAATTACTTTTGCACCGCAGGTTATTTTTCAGAGCCTCACGGAACTTCGAAATTATTTTGAGTTGGTGAATATCGTATCATCTCTTCTAGTTTATTACACCAGAACAAAAAAATAAGCAAAAACAAAATCTATGAAATCTTTCGTTTGTAACGCAATAATGAGTCATAAATATACTCTTACCTCTGGCGATAAAACGGCCTTATTTGTATTCACTTAGTAACCTCATTAAAATAACATATCGTTTCTTTTTCATTGCTATTGTCGAAATATTTTAGGTAAATTGTCACGTATACTCCATATTTTATTTTTAACTTAAAAATATATTACTTTTTTGAGCACTACATGTTTTTATCAGTTTTATTGTGGTTTTTACTACGATCACGAGAAAGAAAGAAAACAAAGCGATTTTGTCACAAATGAGAAAGAAAAAGCAACGAAAGTAAGTGCACGATTTCTTGAAAAAAGAAAAGGAGCCACCTTCCTTTTCCTTTGGAAAGAAAAGATATGCATTATATATTTATTCTTTTTTATTCTAAAGAAAAAGAAAAACTTTTCTTTTGTTAATAAAAAAAGAGGTAGAAAAGAGACAGTGTCAACCCTAGTTACATACAGCAAAACTGATCCTACATAAAGAATATGAGACAATATTTCTGTAGTACAACTCAATTATCGCTTGATATCCGTACACATACAGTTCGTTATACTTTGCATTGTGATTATATTTTATACTATAAAATATAATCAAGCCAAAATAAATATAAAATATAAAATATGCAAGCCAACGGTTGGCTTGCATGCTTTTTCTAAGTTCAAGTCATACTGGTTAGCAGTTGTTGAATGGAAACATGGAATATATTTTTAGATAAAATTACAGGTAGCGTTCATCTCTAATTCGTCAGTCCTAGACTGGAACCGAAATTCGACTATTTTGACGTGAAAACTTTTTGACGATTTTTAATTTTTTTTTGACTAAAATTTTTTGATTTTTTGATCGTGCTGAAATCCTGGAAAGATTGAAACAGAATCCGGACAAAATCGTACCAAGATTCCGGTGAGATTAGAACAAGGTTGCAGGAAGGTTGAGCAAGCTTTCCTGCCACTTATCTGATTGTCACTACGTTCTTTCGATGGTTTAGTCTCTTTTCCACCAAATTTCATCATGTTTTACTGGGTATTTTCTTCGAGAACATGAAGTAACTAGAAATTTTCACCTACAGCACCTTCTTCAGAGTACACAGCAATTTATTTTCTTTGTTTTGTGCTTTAAACTCCATTTCATTTCAATGTCACAAAGTTGAACTATTATTAATTTGTTCATCTAAAGTGTGATATTGTTCTTGCTGGTGAGAAGTTTCATCTTAGATGTACCTTTAGGTTCTTCATCGGTGTATTTTTCATTTCTAGTTCGAAACGTTACTGCCATTAGATCTCAGAATAAAAGTGAGAGGGGCTACCTTTGTGTTTCATCTGTGAGCCAATACGGTAACGTTTGCCGTATGTGAAGAAAACATTCACGCTTGAACTTCCATCCACAATGTGTATTTGTAGACATTTGACACTAGGATCAGTTCGTTGCTAGAGCCAATCTAGCATCCTGTGATTGAGGTGCTCTGGCTGTGCCGCTATCCTCTGATCGTCAAACAGGATCGAAATAATTGTTGCTACATTCTGAAAGACTCAAACGGCAAAGCGATCGTACATCGAGCTAACCCACAATTTGTGATAATTCAAGTTTGTGCATTTGTCTCCCTGTTGTGACTTTTCATTCTGAGATCTTTGCACAGTCAACATATTTAACTGAACCTACAAACGGGAGAGGACTTTAGATTTGATGCATTGTCTGAGAAAGAATATTCTCTTTCGATTCTAAAACTGTCAAGAAGAAAATAGTTCACCTTTGAGACAAAAAAATAAATTTTCCTCTCCGAATGCTCTTCTTTTCTACAAAATTGCTGTGTACTTACTGATGACAATAGTCAAATAGTTAGTCTAGTTCCATTAACTACAACAAAACCCAAAAAACACTCGTTGCACTGCGTTAAAAAGTCAAGAAATGACTATAATTGACTTATATTGTATATTTATTATAAACGTTAAAAGAGATCAAAGAATAAACATAGTGGATAATAATATACGCACACTGTCTGTTTGTTTTTCTCCTTCTATCAACGGATGGAGGAAATAAAAAAAACATTACATCGTTGCAGACTGACATAGAGGAAAATACGAAGTCAGTGTGATCCTAGTTTCGTGCAAGTGATTGATACTATACTTGTTGCGAATTACACACGATCTTGCTATAATCCTGCCGCGATCCTGTCACAATGAAACAGGATCGCATAACGAACTCGATCAAGAACGCGATTACAATTATAAAATCGCGATTTTTTATTCTGCCAAGATCAGCATTTTTTCGTTACATGGGAAAAGATCGGGTTCGCGATCAGATCTCAGCAAGAATGGAACGGGAATACCACTAGGGTAGTAACGCATAACTGATTTCGTTATATCATTACCAGTAGCTAGTAATGTGCTACCTTAATGTGTGACCTTCAGCTTAAAATGACCACTAATTTTGAAAAAATTATGATTGTCATAATTCAAATTCAGCAAAATCAGATATCGAACAATTGATTGATCTTTTCAAAATGATCTAATATTATTGAAGATGGTAAACAATATTAGTACATGATGATTTCAGATACATTCTTTTTAATGTATCTGGTTCAAATTTATATACTCTATCCCATCCAAACCAACGATCTATGCATGATGATCAAATAAATATTACCCTTTTTTCTTGAAAATTATGTATTTCTAGCATGGAAACTTGAGAATATACATGTCACATACGACAATAGATATTGCATTTAGTCCAGAATACGTTTACTGAATTCTTCACGGTCGAAAACCTATAGTAGAATCTTGTTTCCATATGAAAATACGTTTTTTTATTTTGAACTTTTTAGGTGATTTAAACCGATTTTTAGTGAGTTACGAACTTAACGTCTCTCGTCCTACTCTATGGGTTTGCAAAAATTCCAGGTCTCTATCGCTTTTTCATGAAAAGTTATTCAAAAAACTTCGCGACCATTGTGAACAGTAGTTTGACGTAAAAACTTCAGTATTAAGATGATTAAAAATAGCAAATTTTTTCGTGTAAAATACGCACGTTTCCAATCAGGTTTCATTGAATTTCTTTGTCACTAAGGTTTCGTTCGTTTCTTTCATTTTCTGCCTTTTCTCAAAAGTCAGTATATTCTGACACTACTAGCGTTCATCTGTGTCGAAAATGTTGTCCGATAACTGATGTTTCTTCTACACTTGATGTTTGCTGGCCGTAGTACTCTTATTAACTTTCGACAGATTATGAATGACTCATTCTTGAGATAGTCCAAGATTAGACTCCACGTGTCTTAATCATC